ATAATTCATCAAAATGAAACCAGAAAATATGTTTGTTTAGACATCAATCAACAAATACCTTTTAAAAAGTCTGACTTACAGATAAACACAGTTAAATATACATATAGGTATAATTGGTAAGGTTTGATTGTTATAAAACTTAATGTAAGTATGCAACAATGTATGATATATCAAAAGGCATACTGCCTATCTAGTATCTATTATATAGTGGAATAGAGTAAATGTGCACCTAAACCTAATACAATAAAAAAATATAAATTTGAGGAAAAATAATCAAATCATAAATACATTATTTCAAAAACCATACTAATAAACTCCTGTTACTAAACTCCATCTGAAGTGCTAATAACTAATAAGAGTTATAAATAGAAGTGTATGATATTCAAAGTTTTCACTTAATATAATAAATTATACAAGAAAAAAAGGAATGATCAGGTAGGTACATAATATTATAATTACTGTAAATGATAATACCAACCTCTCTATACCTAAAAGTAAATGTCACAAACAATTCAAATAATAAGGTAGTGTAAATACCTAGTATAGGTACTTAAATAATAAGTAATAGGTATTAAGTATTAAAATAGTACCATTAACAATTGGGTATGTAAAATCTTTGTAACATTTCATAAACCTGGGTACCTAACATAAATACCTAGGTAAATTTTTGAATAGATATTTATTTTCAATATGATTCTTACCTGTTGGCTATTACAGATGATTATTTTTTAATTATCTAATACAATAACATTTAAGCAAAAAACTTTTAAGTTTAAAGATTTATTTAATTCAACTTATATTATACTCATTACTCATTGTAGGTATATTGTATCTACATTATCTACAAGACTATACATACCTAGGTAATACATTTCAGTAATTATGTAATAATGTAGAACCAAATATTTAATTATGTTCATGTTATTTAATACTTTAAATTTGAATAACTCGTAATAAAATAGAATACTAGGTCAGTATTTTTAATTAAATTTAATTTTTCAAATAACTTAATTAAATTTAAATAATAAAACATTTTTGGTTGTGTTGTATTTTAATAACCAACTTTATTTGCAAAAAAATATCGTACACATTTATTAAATATATATACATAGTATCATGAAGTATAATGAATACATTGTAATTAGTAAATAATTGTCAAGTAAATAGGTACACATAAATCAGAAAGCAATAATTAGTCTTTAAAAATAAAATCGATATCTTCTAAAATATAATAGACTCCTTATTTAATTTAACAACATTTAATACAGGCAATTTTATATAATAAATCTTATTAGGGATTGCTTCATCATTCAATGTAATCCTGTGGTGTCAAACCAAGGGCATTCAAACTTGTACAGTTGTACCTCTTATATGGTGTACACCTATTACTTAAAAAAAACACCAAGTTTATCACAGAAGAAAGATAAATAATAATTTAGAATAGTATATTATTATGTAGGAGGCTACATTTTTGCAATTTTCACAAACCTTGTTTAAAGCTATTTACCTATTCCATAACCCAGTATTAATATATTAATAATACCTATTAGGTATACATTTAATAAATAAATAAGCCTAAGTAGGCATGGTATAAATATAAACAATTAGGCAATTCATTACCAATATTTAAAACAATTTGGTATTAAATGGTTTAAGTAATACCTATATGGCTATATTACGCTATATTATTTATGAGTAGCAGTTTTGGCTCCATTGTATATTATAATGTACTTGTACATTATTGTACCCATCAAGGGGTTATAATATTATAATGGTTTAAAAATAAATCTTCTACATACTATTTTAAATTATATGGTTATACCTACCTACAGAAATTCAGAAATCATAAAATAAGAATAATACTGAATAATACCTATCTAATTTTTAATTTGCATCATTATTCAATAACAATCAAAAGTGAACATTAAACATATTATCTTAAAACGTCCAAAAAAAGAGGATACCAAGGTATCTATTTGCAAAAAAAATAATAACTTATTAATTAAAATAATAATAGCATTGAAGTAGGTAACAAAACAGCTTTTCTCCATATCAATTAATTTGATGAATAAAAAAAATCTCTGGGAAGGAGTGTTATAAATTACCTGGAGCAATATCTCTCAAGGACATGGTGAAGTAGTGATTGTGTAGAAATAGAACATACCTACCAGAAAATAAAGTGAACTGATGTACCTATGGTATTATACTATTATATGAATCTTAATTATTAATTCGTACAATGTCTGATTTCTTAACTGTAAAATTGAAATTTTTATGCAAAAATCATAACTAGGTACTGCATATATTTCAAGTATAATTATAAAATCTAGTCAAAAACATTTCTATATTCAATGTAGGTAGTATTAGGTAGTTTCACACTATATTTATAGGTTAGTACACAATCTAAATATATATTTTATTTTTTTTAAATAATGCACACTAAATATCTAGATCAAATACATTTAAATTCTAATACAATAGACAGAACTAGTATTGATCGCTAATAAATCCATCAATATCTCGTGGAATAGATAGATGCATATTATTAAATATAGGTTATCACTTCTCAGAATTTTTTTGAATAAAATGTACTAATGTACATATTTTGTTGTTAGTCATAGATCATAATTTTATAATTGATATTATGAGTTGTGTTACAAACATGTGCAGACCTATTATTTAAAATCAAATTAAGACCACAATAGGTACTTCAATAATAAATTATGTTAATCGTCATTGAAACAATATTGAATTATTTAATATGTTGACCAAAGCAATCGTAACTATGCTGTATGAAAAAAAAAAAATAAAAAATAACACTAGATAGGTACGTGCCATGTAAACACAAGTGTTTCCCGACGATAATATTTTTTCATGTATGTACATGCAGGAAATTAATGATATTAATAATGATACATATAACATCCCAATGCCACCGTTTATCTATATCTAATAGGCAACCAATAGCCGATAGGTACCTACTTGTCCGATTGCACTTTAATGACATATCATAGCTTCTGAATTAATTTTTAATTTTATTATATTATATTGTAAGCAATGTGGTGATGGAAAATAAGAAAATGCGTATCGAGCAGGTAGGAAAGTACTTACCAACCGAACTGGGACGAGCAACGGTGAATCGTCGACGGCGGTTTTGGGTAGAAGAATTTGGGGAAAACTAAACGTAATGTGTCAGGTTACTTTTTCGCCGAAATCAATAAATTGCAACTGTAAAAAAGGAAAGATTCTAGTACACGTCCGTCCACAGTATGTACACACAATATATTATTATTTTAATATTAACATCTAATATATACACGAATAAAAGGGACACGACGGAAAAAGAACGGCACCAGAAAGTTGAAGACAGACGTTCGAGCGATTGTGTAACGTGTGGGGGACTAGTGACTGTCGAGTGTCGACTGTCGACTGATGTGTAAAATGTAAATGTATAACATTCGTCATGTACTATGGTATAAAGTAATATAGAAGTGTGGATATACCGAAGATGCGATGGTTGTGGAAGTGGTGGGAGAGATAAAATTGACAAAAAATTTCATTGCTGCGGCAGCTGATAATGGAGTATACCATTGTCATATACCTGAGCACTACCTTGTCTGTAATCACTGTGACCGCCATGAACGTGGCAACGGGTTTTGAGTCTCACGCCTCCGACGTACAACCACAGAATATTATAGATGAATCACAATCTAAGATCACCATAATATATTATGATCTAAATATAATAATTCTGAGTCTTCAGAGGGGCGCCGTCGCTAGAGGTTAAATTGTTTTCCAAGTGAAGTTATAATAAATTATTCATTTTTTATTATATTGGATTTGTTGAGAAATTATATTAGTGATGCCTGTATCTTTCTTATTATATCTTTTACATTTCTATCTTTCGTAATTCTACATATATTATATATATATATAATATATTTTTATTATATTGTCGTATGTACAGTTTAGAAAATCTAAAATTTTAATTTGTTTTATTTGATTATAAAAGTTGACTTTTTTATTAGGAATAAATTGAGTGGTAATGGTAAAATAAAAGTGTTCTCTAAATTATTGGAAGCATAAATCCAATAAGGAGAAAATATACATTTTGGGTTATTACTTTTAATGGAGAGAAAAAGTAAATTGTCTAGATAGAGGGGGCTTAAAATGTTTTTGTGACAATGAGTAAACGGAAACTCAGAAAAAAATCGTAAATACGCCTCTGATATTTCGTCTATTCTGTACACTGTGGTGTGTGATATGACAACGTAACTTTTACAATTTTAAATTCACAAACATTTCGTGACAATCATGGGCTATCGTCGATTGACATGTATGTTAATCGCACAATTTGAGAAAAATTTAAAATTGCATATATTTTAAATGATGTTACAATTATTATTATAATCAGTAACATCTTAAAGTCTAGGCGATTACTCGGGGCTTATCTGCAGAAACGCAAACGCTGCAATCAATTGCTCAAAATAAAATACGTTTAAATGTTTCTGTATAGTCATAGCCCATTAGTATAGTTTTCTTTACAATTATAAATTTCGTACAGTTTTTTTAACATTTCCCGAAATCGTTTGCTACTTCATGCCATATGTTAGGTTGCTACGACAGTATTGTGTTAACAACGGTAACAACAACGACGTTATCACACTACCACTATGACAACGGCGATTTAATCTATGATCGGACGTAAGTTGTGTGCGGGTCGTCTTACTTCGTCATCAGCTGGTTTTTGCTTACGTTTTGGTGATAAACCACAACGAACACAAAATCATTCGTTTCACAATTATTGATGTCGGACCCCCACGGTAACGCGACATTGTGACTGTGGTTGTTAGCGACACGTACGACGTATCAGACTCCGTTCGCTGACCGCCACTCTTCCCACCGAGCCGATGAGCGTGCCGCTCTCTTGACCGAAACGGTTCAAGCACTGAAAAGTGCAAACGTACGCACGACACGTCTTCCGACGAGTCTGCGTGAAGATGGACGACGCCAAAATGCACAAGCTGAACGGTGTGATTGAACATTACAAAAGACACATCGGCAGGGCCACCGAATCCAACGACAACGACAAGGTTCGTAAGCGTAATATACGCGCACCGGCCCTTGCTGGTGTGCTCGCATCGATGGCCGTCTGATTTCCCGTGTTGGCACGTCTCCTTTCACAAAAAAAAAGCCCCCAGCTTAGAGCAATTATTGATAAATTATTATTCGACCAGTGGAACGAGCCCCGAATTAGGCCATCACCGGTCCAATGTCCCAAGTCCTCGATGACTTGGCGTTTTTCGATTTCCATATGTCACTCTGACCCAAACTCCTTGCTATTTGAACCATCACCTTCTGTAAGAATATTATTCTGGACACCATTTTGTGTTTCTAACATTATAATATTGACGTGACGCTCTTTCTTAAGATATTTGGTTCATTGCATGTACCTAGATTACAATTATACATAATTATAATCACAATTATAATTACATTATTCCATCTGATATTTTTCTGCTCGTTTTGTCGTCTTCCAATATGGCTTTATTGTTTTGTTCAATATTTAATTTACCAAAGTAGGTATTGCTTAACACATGATTTTAAAGCATGTTTTTTGTACTTATTTTATTTATTAAATATTTTCTTATTCGATACCCTCTTTGATAATTGGTGATTTCACACAATATCATATTTTATTGCAACTGACTCAAAATCTATTTTTAACTATCACAAATTATCTAGTTTTATTAAATTATAAATCTGTTATAACTTATAACCCTTTCAGCATTAGGTAACCTACATATTTGTGTTCCTAGTTCTTTAAATTTGTTATTACCTACTGGCTATTATTTTCTTTTTGTACCAATTGTTTTTCATTCTACTCATATTATGTATTAATAAATTACTTAGCCATTGTAAGTCCTGGACATATTTTGTTCCCAACTTCCACATATTTGTAGATCAATTATGATACTGGTACAAATGTAGACTATAAATTAATTATGACCACATGTCCGTACTATCACTTTCTTGTTTTTAAAATTAAAAAACATGTTTAAAAATACATATATTATGAAATAGAATTACAGCTCTGGAACAATCTAAAAATATGTAGTAGTTCTGAGGAAATCCAAGGTAAATTGTTAAAAATAGTCTTACTAAAAATGCCCTAGTTTTATAAAACTTTTGAGGAAACCAAGAATTCATAGGTTAAGAATACCTATTTTGATTACTTTCATAATTAGTAAGTTGTACCTAGTTGGTTTACGTGTGAAATTTGGTTAAAAAACTTGTAAAAAGAAATGAAGAAAAATTTATAAAAAATTAAAATTATATGAAATAAGTATAAGGGCCAAGGGGAGACCAGGAACAGAGCTAATGAGAACAAAAGACTAGGCTACTTAGTACTTGTACTAAAATAGGTACATAGAACATAATCATTTTATTAAAAAAAAAACTTATTCTTAAATAATATTTCTGAAATTAATTGTTATGAACTTATTACAACAATAATGAATTCTACAACACTAAACTGTTTTTTCTTTCAAATTTAAATTAATATTATAGACTACTAGTGTTTCATTATATTCTTAAAATATTAATCATTCATACAATTGATGTGGGTGAATACAATTTTTTTTATTAAGTAAAGGTAATATTTTTTTTTGCTAAAGGTACATTTTAAAAATGAAATAATAAGAAAGTACCTACATACTAAATAAAATATAATGTTTCTCTAACTATTCAAAAATAACTCATAAATAGTTTATATTACAAAGGTCAGGATTTGTTTCTAAATATAATATAAATAACAAAACTGAAATCAAAAAAAAAATAATCAATTTCTTATTGGCCAGTTTTTTGCAATCTCCTCTGTTTTCAAAAAAAATTGTTGTGTTCATGTTTCGCTTAAAGCAAATACTATAAACAATAATTCAAGACACTGAAATACTGAATACTGTACTAAAAGAATGGCAAACAAATTGTTATCATATAAGTGACATACTTTTGGCTGGATAACCCTCTAAACCCCCTTATTTATACCATTGACTACCTCACCATCCACTCCCTCCCCAACAACTAATGAAATGAATAAAAATGTCAAGTAAAAACAACTATCTGAAAAAGTCAATTTTGTTTTTACTTAAAAATTACAAAGTAGTAGGTATACTTATAGTGTAGTTTATATCTAAATTAAAATTGATGTCTGCTATCACAATAATGTGACAATAATAATCCTGACTATTTATCAGCTCCTGCCAGTGACGTATTTAGGTTTTTGTCTTGGGGGGGGGGATATGATTTTATCCAGTAGCTCCGCCTTTAAATTTAGAGGTCTTAAGTTAGGACTCCGAAAACTTTTGCATATTGTTTACAGCTTACGGGGGGAGGGAGGATTGATCCCCTTGATTTCATTTACCACCCCCCTGGGTGTATACCACACTGGCTCCTGTTATTGGAAATAATAAATAATTTTACAAATAGTAAGTAAAGAAAAATATTGAAATCTTAAAATTAAAATTGAAATTTGATATAATGATCAAATTAATGGTAACTGTTGTATTTTTGTAAGTATCTTTAATATGATGATTTTGTCGTTTTTTTCTAACTTTTTTCCTTGTTGGATTTTGCCGATTACCTGCAATTTTAGACTTTTTATAAAACCTATTTACTTAGTGAAAGTTCCTGTGTATTAAATACCTAGTCTAATTTAATGAAGAGCATCACTAGGTCAGTAGATCAAGGTGACAGTTTTCAGAATTTTTAAGTACTTAAGTTCCTATAATTTTTATTCTAATTTTAATATATTTGTTATAACTTGTAGTATATTTTTTGGACACTGTAGTCTGGTATTCTGAAGATAAGAAAATGTAAGAAAATTATGTACACAAATTGAGTACTTACATTTGTAAAGAAGGACTTGATTTTAATTTTAAATAGTTACTGTAAAAGATAAAATGTAATAGCAATCATTTATAATTGTTTTGTATTTTTTAAATTTCAATGACTATTTTATTTTGAAAATTAATACAGTTTAATTAGAAATTAAAATATGGCTCATTAAAAAATATATAAAAGAATATAATACCTATACAAACTATATTTTAATATTAAAAAGTTGCCTTATAATATAACATACTGATACTGTTTATTTCTGATAAATCGGTTATATTTTGAAATTTAGATTATATATTCTGTGCCACGAGAAAAGTAATCCACTACGCGCTGCAGACTGACGGCAGCGACCGTTCCAAGGCCCCGTTTCCCCCACTTTACAATATGATACATACTAATAGTATTACTATATAACGTTTACGGTTGTGATCGTGCAACGTCGACAGGTCAAATAGGTGGGGGATCCTTCGATTCGACAGTGATTTGGTCAGGAAACGGGTTACTTCTCTCGTGGCACTGAGTATAGTCAAAATATCACCCTTTTTATAGATAGTTATTGATCCATACAACTTGGGCTTAAACTTTATTGCATTGAACAGTGTTTAAAATTGTTTGCATTATTAGGTACTCAAAAAATATTTTAAAATTGCACTAAATATTTTTTTTTGTTTTTTAACCTTCATTTCATAAAAAAAAAATTATATAATTATATCTCAGTCTGAAATATTCTATATTTACTAAAAAAATTCAAGTGCAATTTCGTACCAACTCTATTTTAGTGGAACTATTATACATATTTTATAAATAATAAAAAAAAAATATATAATGAATTATTATAATTAGGTACAAATATAAATTCTATTACATTATCTAGTTTTAAAATGTAAAAAAATAATACCTACATGGCTTATGCATATAATAGTAATATTATAATATACAATATTAAATTTGTGAAATTAGCTTAGTACTTACAAGACAAGAAAAAATGCATATAGTGATGAATAGTTAGGTATCACATTTTATTTAATTTTAACAAATTTACTAGTTTCCTTATTAATATTTTTATTAATCTGTTAAGACATATTTATAAATATATATAAATATTTCAAAATAACTTTAACACCTATTGTATAATAATGTAAAATGTCAAAGATAAACATGATTATAATACAAAATAGAATTTCATTTAAACAATCTAAAAATCTTCCAAGTCTTTAAAAATATAGATTTTGTTCTTGTTATATTTGATATAATTGAGTGGTATTCATGTGGTTTTCACAAAATGTGTTCATGAACACACATTCACAAACTTGTTATTTCCCATCAATGTATTGCTTTGTATATAATACATATACACTGTTCATGGTAAGGTTGAGTAATTACTGTTATTTAATCTATTAATGTTATAAGTAGTTGATTATAGTATTTACTATTTATAATCAATGATTAAGATTCAATTCTTACAAATTTACAGGTTTGATAAAAAATAATACTAACTGCTATAACTTTAAAAATAACTAGAATAAATTATGAAATAATTAATATATAACATTAAAAAAAAAAAAAAAAATGTACAACTAATTGGAGCTAATAAATACTATTGTTTGTGCTTTCAGATAATGAACTGTATAACTAAGCTTTCTCGACTTCCTATTACTGTTCAAAATTTACAAAATACTGGAATCGGCCGAGTAGTTAATAACTTAAGAAAATATGATGGTAACATTGGGGAATCAGCAAAAACTTTAGTCATTCAATGGAAAAATGTAGTAAAAATTGAAGAAACTGAAAATTTTTATCGAACATGTGATAACTCTGATGAAGAACATCATGATGATGTATCATCACCAAAAGATAATGAAGAATTTATCGATGAACCAGAAATAACCAATAAAAGTAACGATGATTCAAGTGACCATGAATCATCTCACCAAAAACATCATGAAAAATCAAAGCACAAAAAAAGTAAAAAAGATAAGGGCAGTAAAAAACAAAAGGAATCTTATTCTACTTCAACAGATGATCAAGGAGATGGTCATGTCTCGAAGAAAGTGAAAAAAGATTACAAGTACGAAAATGTTAGAGTTAAAACAGAAATAGAAAAATGTGAGATTGCACAAAATGTTGCAACAACTTCTCATAGAGAAAATAATAATGGTTACGAAGAAAGTACTAAAAGAGAGAAAAAAAGTTCACATTCAGACAAAAAAAAAGATAAGCATAAATCGTCTCATAAATCTGAATCTAAATCTCACTCTCACAAGGACAAAAACGAATCAAAGTCATCTGGTCATAAGGATAAAAGTGATTCAAAAAAAAATATCAAGGATAAAGTCAAGGAAGAATCAAAGCCTTCAACTAGTACTAATTTTACTAGTAGTAGTAAGTTTAGCGCTTTATATACAAATATATAAGGTCTGGATTTATATGTTTTTACATATTATTATTAATGAGTTAATACAGCCTTACGAGAGTAAAAAATGTGGACAATTTATTCAACTTAGAGTTCATAGAAAAAAGTTTTTTTTTGCATATTCGAGATTATTTCTTCATGGGTTAGGGAAGATTTAGATTATTTAACATATTTTGGTACCTATATTTTGTAAGTTATGAAAGAAAAATACTAATTTTATTTTTTAAATTATTGTTATTCATTTTAATATTACTGTACCTGAAATAATGTTTACCAATCATAATTTTTTTTTTATATAATTTTGATTAAAAACCAAGCAGTGATAGTACTATTATATTGCTGTGCCGTTATGTATTAACTTACCTAACCTATACTGATAACAACAACGTGTTTGTTTATCAAAAGTCCAAATATATTTTGGTTTTTGCGATTGCGTGTTTTTTTGAATAAATCAATCCATTAATTTTAAACACCTTTTAAAACAATTTATAGAACCGTCTAACACAAAAGACACTATTTGAACTGTTACTATAGTGCAATTATTCCATCATGCAAGTGTATACCTAACTATTGTAAAAAAATAATTAATAAAAACTGCATATTTAAGCATATAATGAGGTTTATTGATTATTTTTCTAATTCTTAAGAGAATATAAGGAGAATATTTGTAGGTTTTTCAAAAAATATTTGCATCAAATTTTAGGCATTTTAAGAGAATATAAATCCGGCCTTTACAGTTATATACAAGTTAATTATTCTTTATTTATTTATTTATTAAATAATGTTATTCAGGTAAAACATTTGAAGAAGCTTTACTAGGTATACCAGTCAAAAAGAAACAAATTAAATCCAAGCATAGAGATAGATCAAGGTCTTCAGAGCGTGAATTTAGTTCTGCGCCACCAGTCAGTTTAATTCTAAACAAACTTTTAATGTTTAAAAATTACCAAGTTAACCATTATTATATACCTAATTTTAGAGTCCATTGGCACCATTTAATTTAGATCCTGAAGAATTAATTGCTAACTATAAACCATTATCTCAATTAGATGTAAAGAAAAAGAAAATGCCAGAGGATCTCGATCCGTTAGCTAAAATAATGACCACAAAAAATATGAGGTATTCAATTATATAAAAAATCTAGTGTATTGTTATTTTTATTTCCAAGATATAATATTTTACAGGACAAAAGTGTACTCTGGAAATAAGAGTACAATCTACACTGAAGTTCCTAGACTACTTGATTTCTGTATCCAAACTATTAAGGACAATTTAGATGGTAATATACTTTGTTTATTGTGTACAAATTCATATTATTTTATTGTACCTACAAATTGAAGATATGTATTTATAGTACACATCTTTCAAAATGTTTAGCTTTGGAATACACTGGTGGAGTTCCGTTTAGTATACTTGAGCCAATATTGAAACACGCTAGCCCTGATCAGCTGTATAACTTAGAACAGTACAATGACTATTTGATTGAAGATACTGGAGTATTATGGGAGTACCATTGCAAAAAGGAGTTTCGTAATAAAGTTCCAGATAAAAATGAACCATGGAGAAATTTTTATATAGTAATTAATTATTTATCAAAAGCATTTTCACACAGTAATATTATTTTATTTTAATACATTTTAAATTTTAATGAAGTCATATTATTTATTACAGTAATTGAAACACAACATACTTTTTTTGTTTAATCAAATTATAATAAAAAGTTTAAACATAAAAATATCCTTAACTAAGTAGACTATTTCTCCGCTTAAAAGGACATGATGCGGGAATTTATTGTTTTCATCTTATAAGTGCACAACCTAGCAAATATACACTCAGAAGATCACTTTTAGCTTCGTTAGTTTAAAAATTAGAGTGAATCGACCTATTATGAAACTTGATGGTAAGAACATTATCGGTGTCTGGGTTTGGGTTTTTTGACATTAGTTCAATTTTTAGAAAGTATTGTGTAAATCATTTAGTGTAAAAATGCTCATAATTCACTTAAAAACTGGATTATTCGTAAAAAACCCACATACAAACACAGATAATGTTCTTACCATCAAGTTTCATAATATGTTGATTTACTCTAATTTTTAAAATGACAAAGCTAAACGTGATCTGCTGAACGCAAACTTGTTAGGCTACGCACTATTGTAAGACGGAGACAACAAATGCCCGTGTCAGGTCTTCTTAACATGACGAATATAATATAATACATAATTTTTTAATTAAAATAAATTATAATTTGTATGGGAAACCGTTTAAGAATTGAGTTCACCCTACTTTGTATTTGATCGTTTACATGTTTGTTATTTATAGCGATGCCTAGAAGAACGTGAAACAAAATTAGCCAAATTACGGCAAAACATAAACGCGAATCAAGCCGCGTCCACGCCTGTTAGAAAAACGCAACTAGCATACGTCGACTCTGCAGTAAAACCACCTCGTGGCGTTGCTAAAAAACAGGCAAATTAATTAATTTAGAACATAATTGTTTATTATTCTTGAAGTTTTTGATTTTAATAGTCTTGTATGTTGTCGCAGGCGAAATTCCAAACGACTTCCTCGGACATAAAGCGTAATATCTTAAACAAATCGATGATGGGAGGACATTCTACCGCAGAAGCACTGTCCGCCAATAAGAGATCCACCACCATGGCTACCGGGGTACCAATTGCTTTGACTTCTCCACATACGCCGTCCAGTGCGAGTATGAAAATAAAATATTTTACATTATTTATATTATTTCATTCGTTTAGTGACGTTTATTATAATTTTTCTCCGAGACCTCTATTTGTATTCAAATATATTTTAATGAATGCGATTATTCCCGACATTTACGTAAGCCTGCTACATATATTAAATGGTTCGAGTATGAATTGTCTCAGTAGTCAGTGTGACATGTAGAAAGATTGTGTTGTTCGGGTCAACGAATCTCAATTCACAGGAATTAAATTTCATTTCTATTTTAAAATATTTTGACTCCCAAATAGATTTATTTGCATTCTTTCCTAGATAGCATTATGTAATATCAAATCTGAAGACAATAAATTTGCACCAAACAGTAATAATTTAATATTTTAGAAAGTACTTGTCGTGTTATTTGAACGATTGACGAGAATAAAAGATTAATTTGGCTTCCTCTAAATTATAATGATATAACAATATTTTTCAGACTTATTTAAGAGGACGCTAACCATACATTTGTTGTCTCCGTCTTACACTCGCACGACATACCAAATTGTTGTTCACTAGTTTCAATAGTGTGCTGTTAGTTTTGATACTAGAGTGAATTGACCTATTATAAAACTTTTAGGTAAGAACATCTGTGCTTAAACGTTGCCGATTTTTCGAAATTTTCATTTTCAAGCAAGATATTGGTTTGTAAAATATCAAAAATTCAAAATACTTATATCTCACTTGAAAATTAAAATATCGAATAAAAGCCAACGCTTAAGCACAGATAATGTTGTTATCTAAAAAAATGATAATAGGTCAAAATGTCAAATCACTCTAATATCAAAACTAACAGAACACTAGAGAACGAAAATGTGCTATGCCGTACGCGTGTAAGACGGAGACAACAAATGCATAGGTATAGCATCCTCTTAATTGTAATACATTTATTGTATGTTATTTTATTTTTATGATTTTAGTAATAAAGAAAAAAGCTTTCATAAAAGATTCATTTGGATTCCTCTAAATTATAATAATATAACAATATTCAAATGTTTTTCAGATTTATTTAATCGTAATAAATTGTATGTTGTTACATTTTTATGATTTTAGTGAAAAAGAAAAAAGCTCCTTTGATGCAAAAGGCGTTACAACTCATAAAATCTTCACGCAGACGTTAAATTACTTCATAATTTACTTGAAATAATAGCATTTCCTACATACATACATTTATAATATATACATTATAATTTAAAATGTATCCGCCGCAAAGGTTCTAAGGTTTGATAATATGTTATCTGTGATGAATTGAATTCTGAATTTACTTTATTTTTTATCCTTAAATAGCATTAAGATTGCGTAATGTGAACACGTTATTCTATTATAGATGTAATTTATAAACACGGTCATTGTAATTCTAATTAATTATTGTAATACTGTATTAAGTATATAAAGTATTGATTCTATTTTTAATACCTATTACCTAGACATAGTTAGGTACCATAATTTCCTGTTATTATGTATACATTTTTTTGTCAACATATTGTGCGTTTAATTACTAAACATTATACATTTTTTAAATGTAATTTTAATTCGCCGTATCGGTCGTCCAGCTTTATGTATGATAATTATATATGAGCGACGAGTTGTAGCTGTTACGTATAATAATAATACAATATACAATTATACAAATATTATTCAATTTTAATTGATCATAATATGCATGCATTCCATGAAATCAATAACCATACAGTATACAGTATACACTGTCTACTCAGTAGGTACCTTTAGAGAATTATCGATTTGTGTCTATGTTTTTCTAGACAAAAAGGCTAATGATTGATCACATACTGTATACTTTGGTTGTGCCACATCACATTTTAACCATTTTAATAACCAATTGGATATTTCAATATAATATACTATACTTTACCATAAACTATTTATGCATTCAGAATCATTATCATCTGGTACAGATGGTGTTATAACTTATAACTATTATAATGTAACTATTTACTATTATAATTATATAATTACTATTTGATTTCATAATTTTAAATATTCTTAATACTCGTAAATGATAAAAATATTTTTAAACGTATTTTTTTCCAAGTAAAGTACATAGATAATATAAGAATGGATAGGACATGCCTATACCAGTTCCATATGAGGCCGTGTGCTTTTTTGGGGAAGAGAGAACGTAAAGAGAGAAAGACTATATGAGGCTTTTTAAGGTTATGTGCAAAACTATTTTATTAAATAATAATAATAATAACATGATAGTCAGTTATATTTAGATATTTGTCAGTTTGTATTTTGATTGTTGTGCCACCTGTGCCTGGAAAATGGAAATTGGAAAATAATATTTTAACAAAATGAAATTATATAAATTTTATTTATTATTATTTATCAATTATTATATCAATATTTGCCTTATATAACCTTAAAAATAGTATCACTAAATTTTCATGTGATAAGCTCTTATGCCCTATCCATTCTTATATTATCTATGGTAAAGTAGTGATATTAAGCTATATAAAAGTAAACTTACGTTTTTCGCCATTATCAGAAGTAGTGATTACTGTGTCCTTAAACAAGATAACTGCATCAATGACAGTCGCCGGTGGATATGCACATTTTCGTCCAGCCATTTTAAAAACGCGTATAAAATAATAATTTATATTATGATAAATGATAAATGAAATCAATAACCGTTTACGGACTTGCTAACAGTATGGATATCGGTGACCAAATGACAAATTATAAATTAATCAGATTATCAGATTTAGATTTAATAGAATAACAAATAGATACAATTAAAACGTACCCATATAAAAATAGATTTACAGAAAGAACTAACGTCAAATGTTTATTTTTAATTGAAACTATTGTATACTAAATATATAAATAATACACACAATAAAACCGAAAACGTTAGAATATGTTTACAATGTAGACATGTTGTAGATTGTAGGACGTAACAATACAAATTAAATATATAAGTAGGTAATAACTAATAAAAACATTATCAAACAAAATTATATTTAGATGTATTATTTTAAAATAAATTAGTACTATTTCCACTTGAGGAATATTATATCATAGTTATGCAAATATACGTGTATGCACTTTTGCAATTCCAAGTGTTTAGTGCAGTGGTGAAGGGGCTGAGAACACGTGAAAATTAGGAAACAGCATTTTGCGAACCAACGGATGACGATAAGAGTTACAGGGCCAAGCATGCAAATACATGCTAAATATTGGCTTGGAAAAAAATTTGAAAATAAGTTTTTGTGATGTGTGGGGGGTTGGAGACACGTGTTTACAGCCCCCCACCTATTTTTTGATACCACACCTAATTAAAACGCATACTAATTACAAAATTTAGCATGTAAATACATGTTAATTATATGCCAAAAAAAAATTGGAAAATTCTAATGTGAGGGGCTGGAGACACGTACGTCTATTGAAACTAGCCAACGAACATTTGCTATGTCGTATGAGTGTAAGACGGAGACAACACATGCGGGTCATATATCATGATAGTGGGGGAAGTCGGAAAATTATTATTAAATGAGGATGACCGATTCGGGCCTCAGAGTTTATCAACATTATCCATTAGTGTTTTTTCGAAACAACGTGATTTCCACTAACTTATAGAAAAAGGAACGGTTGTCAGTAGTGTAAGTGTATACCTAGAATAGAAGTTTTTAAAGAGCCCTACGTGTACTATAGACTATAGTAGATCCATGGAAGTAGGTAATCAATTGATTAATAATTTGTTGTTTATCTGCCTCACTCTTCACGCCACTGCTGCACATCGTCTATGCGCACGACATCGCGCACAGCCACTGGCCGTCAACTCGTCTCATCGCTCCCGTGGCCGTCGAGGTCGGGACTTCGTCAGCCGTCATGATGGTCGTCGCCCGCGAGCAAACGCGCTGGCTACTGCACTCGTCCGCCTGCAGGATGTGCCGCGAGAACTTATAGAGTGACCAATAGCCTTATTTTATGCAAGCCTCTCGCCATCACGTACCGACGTACCACTCCCCCCTGCTTATTGTGTCTTGTCTAGTGTTTTTTTCCCCCATTAGAGCCGTTTATTATATTTCGAAAAATCTTCAAAATTCAAAATAAAAATAATAAAAGAAAATAGGCCACTTTGAGCCGTTTATAATTCAAAAAATCTAAACTTTTGATTGTACTTACACCATAATAAATGGTATATATAAATATATTGTAAAATTACATTTGTTGAGTACCTACACAATAAAATTGTCTATACAAATTAAACAAAATATTATTTCTTTTTTTACGTATTAGAGTGTATTTGTATATTTATTTATTTCAACAGAATATTGGGCTCCGCTGAACATGCCCCTGAGAGGGCTCATGCAAAGTAATAGCTACCTACTAGCAATGTTTTTGTCACGCATCAATTAATATATCACTAAAATATTATAATAATGAATAATGGTAGGTATTTTTGGTCAGGTGAATGTATAATAATTAATAGATAACCATAGATAACTTGGGACTTTTACGTATATTATAAATTTTACTGTACCTACGCAATGGCATTTTAAAAATAGTAATACTTTATACCTACTCTTGACCCCACAAAGTAGGTACAACAACTAATTCCTACCAAGTATCAGAAAAGATTCTGATGTAAAATACTAAAATATCAAAGCATTTTTACTACCCCAAAAGTTGATGACGGACACAAATAATAAAAAAGAGGGTTAGTGGATGTTACTCTGCTGTACAGTTGGTTATTAGTGGCCCGAATGGGTTAATGTAATGGATGTTGTTAAATTTGAATTCAATGATATAAATCATTGTAGGTATACGAAAAACGATTGTGAGCGAAGATTGACTTTCAGGCTTCAGCCCATAATACGTATTACTAAGTAGGTATATTTTATGATATTAACAATTTTTTCTTATAACTACCTTTTGATACACTTCAATAATAAAATTGATAACCTATAATGACACTCTTAGAAAAAAAAAATAACATAAACAAAATTGGCAAAAGTTGACAAACATAGTTTATTATTTTTATTTAACATATGATCATAAAAATCAATATTATCATTTTAATTTATTATTATAATCGTAATTAATTACTTTAATTTTTTTTCATCCCAGTTACTTTTCTTACAATATCATAAATTTGAATTCTTTATTAGGTAGGTGGCTAAGGTAATAATGGTAAATTGGTGTACCTATAGTATTCGATTATTGACATTAATATGTGCAACGAAAAAGTGCAATATTTTGTGGTGCTCTTTTCGTAGTGGATAAACTTGAAAATTTAACCATAGATTCCCTATAATGGTATCGCATGCAAAGTATGAACTTAGGAGTTGGAATTCATTCCTTTCCATCATTTTTAATTTTGGATATTTACAAACACAACATTTTATACGTACATTACCCTGCAGCCCCCCTCATTGAACTTTTTACAAAAAAAACTAAGTCTCGAATTAGCACGCCATTAGCATGCATTTGCACGACTATTTTTAGAATTTGCACGACATTTTTTTACGAGTTATTTATAAAAAAACTATGGGGGGGCTGGCGTAACGTTACCCCAGCCCCCACAAGTGAAATTATCACTTTTTTACAATTTTTTTTATCAAACATCAGCACGTCATTATCATGCATTTGCACGACTGTCGCAGAACTTGAAACTTTACGATTTTAAACTTTCACGCTTTACCCCTGCCTACTTTAGCTTTCCTCCCTCGTATATGAAATAAACCTTTTTCACCGTTTTTTTTTTTTACTACATACGGTATTTGTTATAGGACTATTTCTAATATTGTCTCATCAAAAACTCATAAGTGAAATGGACGCATAGGAATCTTGTAAAGTACTTGAGTTTTGAGTTAACTGTAAGAGTATTCAACTACCTACTTTTTAAGTAACCAATAGTACGTATTTTTAATACTTTTGAAAAAAGTACTTGAAAAAATTATGTACTGTTGTATAATTTAACTACGAATTGGTGTTAGACATAGACATTCATTGCCATTTTAAATTTTAAATGAGTGATTTTTAGTTTTCACCAATACCATTCTTCGAGGTAAGTATTTTTTACACATAATATATTAATATCAAAATCAATACTTACATTTGATTTAATTTACATTAACATTGAACACGATTATAG